GAATTGTGAAATGATTCAATCATTTTGGAGAGCAATCTGGAATTATGCCCAAGAAGTTATTAAACTACCTATACCCCTTGACCCAGCAATACCACTACTTGGTCTATTTCCAAAGATGATTATGGAAAAAGGAAAAGAACCTATATGTTCTAAAATGTTTATAGCAGCTCTTTGTGGTGGCAAAGAACTGGAAATTGCGGGAATGCCCATCAATTGGGGAATGGCTGGACAGGTTGTGGTATATGATTGTGATGCAATTCTGCTTTGCTGTAAGAAATGATGAGCTCAATGATTTTAGAAAAACATGGAAAGACTTGTGTGAAATAATGAAGAGTGAAATGAGTAGAACCAAGAGAATGTTGTATGTAGTAACAGCAATATTGTTTTAAGACTGATTTTGAGTGAATAAGTTATTTTGTCTATTATAAATATCCAAATTAACTATAAAGCACATATGAAGACAGATATTATCTGCATCCATAGAAAGAACTGATAGATACAAGTATGTATAGAATAATTTTACACATATATACCTATTTGTGTCTAATGGTAGCCATCTCTAGGCTGGGATGGGGGGGTGGGAAGAAAAAAATAAAAAAAATTTACATGATAATTTTATTGTATTTTTGAAAGGAATAGCACGTCGTGCATAGTAGATTTGAAATTTCATGTGTAATCATCTTTTTTATTGTACTGTCATGAAATGCTTGTTTTATTCTATAGATTAAAAATAAAATAAAAAAATTCAGATGAATCTGCCTAATGGCTCATTATAGAGTGATAGATGATTTGCACTAGAGGAGTCTTAGAAATCATTGACTCTACCTGCCCCATTTTACAGATGGAGAAACAGATCCAAAGAAGGGAAAAGTACTTGTCTATAGTCCCACAGCTAATTAGGACAGAGGCAGGGCTAGAGATATTCCAGCTGTTCTGACCAAATTAAATGTGATCAAGTTCTAATTATGACATTTATATTTTCTAGGTGTTTTTTTCTAATTGGATTTGACAAGCGCAAATTATTTCCTCCACTAAAATCCTACTCTCATGCCTTATCGGCAGGTGGTTCTTGGTAATTCTAGGTTTTCAAAGGCAAGGAGGGGTCATTCGGACTGGATGGGCAAAGTTCAAATAGGCTTGTCACCAGAAGGTTCACAACTCACAAAACCATCTCCTAAGGAATACAGAATTTGTGACCTGCACTGGTAGGGTACCAGTCACAGATGGATGAGATGACGGATGCTCAGAGTATTGAAGCTAATCTTGTCATAATAATAATAACTGATGTTTACAGACACACAAAGCACCTTATCTTACACGATCTCATTTGGTCGTTGGGATATCCTTGTGCTTCAGATTTTATTCTCATTTCACAGATCAGGAAACTAAAGCTCAGGATTATAAGACATCTACCTGCCTAGGGTCACATGGCTCTTTGGCACCTGAGATGAGATTCCAACCCAGGTGTTCTTTACTCTAAGCTCAGCACTTTATTGACATGGATGTCTCTCAAAAACAAGTCAGCTAGAATCACCTATTAACTATAAGGTACTGGGCTTACTAGACTCAGAGAAGCAGAGAATCCTAACTGGAGACAAAACCACAGCTAATTTCTATCTATTTTCATTTTGATGTTCTTTTTAGGAGAGAATTCAGCAACCATCGACAATTTTGTTCTAGTATTTTCCATAATCTTTTTCATCCAGTAAGACATTTCTGACATGAATCCTTCCTTAGAGATCCCTTTCTATTTGTTCTCTCTATGGTGGAAATAGAAATGGAAACACTTGGTAACGATTTGTCATAAATTTCTTTTTTATATATACTTTAGAGTCAGTAATAATTAACTTCTCAGTTTTTCTTACTCAAGGCTAACCACTTGATTCCTTCAGCCCCGTTTTATAATCATAAGTTCATATATTTAGAGCTTAAAGGGACATTAGAGATCATGGAATCTACTCCTCCATTTTACAGATAAGAAAACTGAGGCTTTGAGGGTTAAGTGACATGCTGAAGGTTCCACAGAGGATAAGTGGCCGGACTGGGATTGAATCAAGGTTATCTGACTCCAGGCCCAATGTTCTTTCCTCTGAACTTTTTTGCCTTTTACCCTTTTTTAGGGATGGGTCAGGCTCCCTATTTTATAATCAATTCATAATTTCCCTTTCATATTCTGCGTCTTCTCTAAGTTTTTCCAACTTTGAACTTGATGAGGCTGTGGATTAAAAGAGTGGGAACTGTTGGCCCTATCTTAGCATCCTCTCTAGTTGTGAATAGGACATGGGCTAAGGAGGTCTCTAGCTTCCTCTAAAGCTTTGATGGACTTCTTGTGGTCTCTCCTGGCCACTGGGTGGGGCTATAGACTGCTAATCTATCTGCAGAATGGCTTCTGGTTAGAAAAAAGGGATTTTTGAAGAAGTTGTTTGGTAGTTCATGCAAGCATAGACTCCTCTCTAAAGAGCTACTACAAGGCAGAGCTAGCTTTTTAAAATTGCTGACCAGAACGAGGAACTGTAATTTAAAGCTTCTGGGGTTCATCCATCTTCAACTAGGAGTGCCTGAACCTGTTTAAGTGGAGGTTATGATCTCATTTGATCCAATTTTTTTTAAAAGAGGAAAGATTCTACAAAGGCTGCTTGGCTATGAGAAGAAGGATTTAAGGTTAGAGGCCCAGGATGAGAGTTTTCCCATGCAACAGATGGAGTAGAAACAACATGAATGATAGCTTGATATCAAACTGACAGGCCAGCAAGATGGTATGATGTGCTCAGAAGGGCTCTAGCTCAATCCTCTTATTTGACTGAGGAAGTACCTAAAGCCAAGGAGGTTAAGTGCTTTATCCCCGTCACACAGGGAGACAAGCCAGGCTTTTGACCCAGCCTATGGCACTTAGAGGTAGACAGACCTCAGAAGCCATCTAGTACAACTTCCCTATTTTACAGATGAGGTAACTGAGACACAAAGAGGTTTAAAAAGTTCTCTAAAGTTTTATAGGCAGAAGGATTGGGATTTAAATCCAGGTCCTCTCACCTTAAATCTAGGGCTCTTCTCACTATACCTCATTTCCTCTTACATATGGGTTCTAGCTCTATCTCAGCTACTAACTCATGAGGTGGGCAAAATCACTCAACCACTGCGTGCCTCAGTTTCTTTACTTGTCAAAGGGGATAATATTACTTGCCTTAGTAGATGGGAGCAAAATGAGACTTGCAAGTATTTGAAAGTGTTAAAAGCAATACTGTACAAGTGAAGGATTTTGGATAAGGTCCTTAATTTTTTTGAGCATAGAAACTAGGAGACGTGCTCTCCAAATTGGGAAGAAAATTGGGTGCTTCTAGGCTATGGGTTTACTTTATTGGTCCAGGTACAAACCATGAATCATGGTGCTGAACATGAGACAAAAGTGGCTAGTGTGAGTGGTTGAGAGGAAGGGATTTTCAATAGTGAGAGAAGAAAAATAATTCAGACAGAAATCAAAGAGTTGCCTAGAGGTCTTTTTCCTTTTCTGACAGGTGGGTCTCAAAACCCTGAGGAAGTCATCTGTCCACTCACACACCTGGCTCCCTTGACTGCTCAGAAGCTTCAAAAACTGTGTGGAGGATGGCCATCATAGTGGAAAGTGAGTTTGTATGACACTCCCATCTTTTTGTCCTATTCACTTCTCCCATGGTTGCATAGACCGAGCTTATTCTCAACCACTATCCTAGGTACAAACCTGGAGTATAAAATACAAACCTGGAGTATAAAATATTAATCTGGGGATATTCTTTCCCATCCCCGATCTCATTATTGTTGTCAACATTTTCTTACCAGCACTATGAATACACAAAACACCAAGAGTACTAAGACCCAAAGAGCAAAACTTCCAGCTGTTTGCTTTTTAGAAACCTACTGATATATCCCTCTGAAATTCATCACCAAGTTCTGTCAAGTGTCTTAACATCTAGTGACAGCAAGTGTGTGATATAGTTAGTGGCAGGATTTATATGGGAGGTTACTGCTTTATTTAGCAATCTGGGAATGCAAGTGTAAGCACTGAACATGGTTATGGTCTCACTAAGTCTCTAGGGAAGAACTGCCAAGACTGTTATTACAAAAAAAATCATGAAAGTGGAGCACTGGGGTTGGTGACTCAGCCTGAATAAATTAGGAATGAACTTCAAGCAAACTTAGAATGAACTAAGAGTCAAACTTTTCTCATGGGCTCATAGATACTTTTTCTTTCCTTCCTTCTTTCCTTTTTCCTCCTTCCTCCCTCACTCCCTCCTTCCTTCCTTCCTTCCCTCTTCCTTCCTTCCTTTCTTTCTTTTTTCCTTTCCTCTCCTCTCCTCTCCTCTCCTCTCCTCTCCTCTCCTCTCCTCTCCTCTCCTCTCCTCTCCTCTCCTCTCCTTTCCTTTCCTCTCCTTTCCTTTCCTAGAAAAAGCTTGATTAGTGTTTCTCATTTTCTTAAGCAGCAGCATTGCTTTTATCATCCCGCCTTCAGCCACAAGTTCCCAAGTCCCTGGGAAGAGGTAATGCAGATTGACTACTGGGACTTAAAAATGGATTCTAATGAGCTTGTGGTCTCTACTCTGATATAGCAAACTACTGTCAAGTGAATTTTACCATTTTCCTGAGGGCTAAGTTCAGAAGTGTGGTCTAGTTTGGAAGTTAACTTGGATTTTTGTATGTGATCTGTAAAAATCTCTATATATTCAACAACCTGAGTTTATGACAATTTTTAAAATGTTACCCTACAGGTTATCATTTCTTAAATTTTCTTTCTGTTCCTTGTTACTCATGCTATACATATCCTGGATTTCCTTCACCCAAAGTGCATTTCATAAAAAATAGATTTATACTAGAACCTAGTGAAAAAGTAAGGAGTGGGAAATAGGTTGATAATCAATGCAAATTATTTCCAGGACATTACTCCTGGGCAGAATGTGAAGAGTAATGTATGTCACTGTATAGATTTTCCATGAGAGAATGAGCAGTTCTTTAGTATGGGAGCAGCATACCTGCAACCTTGGAATTATAAGCCACTCCAACCCCACAGATGTTGTTGTTGGCTGCTGCTGATACTTCCCCTGCACAGCGGGTTCCATGACTGTAGAGAAGAAGAAAGCTAACGTTAGATACAATGTCATCCAATGAGTCGAATTTAAAGGACTTTGGAAAGAATTACAGAAGGAGGCTCTTGAAATTGCTTTCCTAATCATAGAAACAAAAAAATAACAAAAACCATACGATTATGTCAACAGATACACAAAAAGCCTCTGGGAAAAAATAGTATTCATATATGTTACAAACCCCAAAAGCACAGATCCATAAGGACCCTTCTTTAATATTAGCAAAAACATTTATTGAAAACTAATAGCTTGCATTATTTACAATGGAGAAACATTTTAAGCTTTCCCAGTAGACCACGGGCTAAAGCAAGGACGTCCCCTCTTCCCACTATTATTTGATATAGTTCTAGAAATAATGGTCTATAAATAGAACAAAATCAAAGGTACAGATATCAGCAAAGAAGAGATATAATTCTCTCTATTTATAGATATCATGATGGTGTACTTAGAAACCTACAGTCAGTGAAGAAAAGTTTTGAGGTGATCAATAGCTTTACCTATTAATTTAGATATCTATAGATGGGCATTTTATATAACATTGATAGAGCCAGGAAGATTAATTGTAGTGGGATAGAATAGTACTGTCAGATGCAAATGTGTTCATGGTATTGGATGATTTTACTTCTTTTCCTCTCTTTTTTTCTAAAAAAGTACTCACCATCTATAAAAAGACTTTCCCAATCCTCCTTAATCTTGGTGCCTTCCCTCTAAGATTATCTGCAGTTTATCCTGTTTATATTTTATTTGTGCATATTTGTTTGTGTGTTATCTCCCACTTAGACTTTGAGTTCCAGGAGTTCAGCAGGGACTGTCTTTTGCTTTTTTTTATATCCCCAGTGTTTAGCAGAGTGCCCAGCACATAGTAAGTACTTAATTTGAAAGGAAAGGAAAGGAAAGGAAAGGAAAGGAAAGGAAAGGAAAGGAAAGGAAAGGAAAGGAAAGGAAAGGAAAGGAAAGGAAAGGAAAGGAAAGGAAAGGAAAGGAAAGGAAAGGAAAGGAAAGGAAAGGAAAGGAAAGGAAAGGAAAAAAGAAAGAAAGGAAGGAAGAGGGAAGGAAGGAAGGAAGAGGGAAGGAAGGAAGGAAAGAAGGAAGGAGGGAGGAGGAGAAAGGAAAGAAGGAAGGAAAGAAAAAGTATCTATGAGCCCATGAAGACTTCCTGACTTCCGGGACCAGTATCCACTGTGCTTCCTTTCTTCAAGCAATGGAAAGTAGGATAGTTTTACTAGACTTTAGGGTAGGTGGAAAGATGGGTATTTTTGATGTTGAACCATTTGAAAATGCCCAAGACTTTGATCATGAGAACTTTCTTTTCCAAGTTGTTAGTAGCTGTGGTTATTGAGGAGACAAGCACTCTACCTTCTGCAGGCGAAATTGTCAGGTCATATCTTGGCAAGAGTTGATTCTCTGGATGAAGGCTACAAGGGCCAGGCTGGAAGGTGAGTCTATGGTCTAGGGGGTGTTGCTATTCCCCCCCAGGACTCTTGTGCCATGATGGCTGGTCAGTGGTTGGTGTTGGTGGGGTTGGGTTGGAAGCAGGGTCAGGGGTGGGTGGGGCATGGCTTTTCCCAATGCTCTTGAGTTTATTCTCTTGTTGGTGGGAGTTGGTATTGGTTGATCAGTCAGTCACTCAGCAAGCATGTTGGTGGTAACAGAGATGGCAGATACTTTCTGCATAGGTTTGCTCCACTAGATGGGGGCCAGACTAGAAAGAAGGTCCATGGTCTGGAGCTGGGGTACTGCAATTCCTGGGGCTGTCTACACCAGAGTCCGATGGGCACTGGGCACATTCTGTCTCCTGTCTCTCCCTCGAGACATCTTACTGCTTCAGGTTGATTTGCCAAACTGAACTTTATCTCTGATCCTTGAGGTAATTGAGATCCTTGAGTTAATAGGAGGATGGGTGGTGGTGGTGATGTGGTCAGGCTTACACTAAAGGAAAATCAGTTTGGTGGCTTTGTGGAGGATGGATTGGAATGGAAATTGGAATGGGGAAAGACTTGAGGCAGAAACACCAATTAGAAGGCTATTGCAATAGTACAGGTGAAAGATGTTGAGGGTCTGAACTTGGTTGGTGACTATGTGAGTGGAGAGAAGGGGATGTATATTAGAGATCAATAAATAAATGACCAAATATTTATTAACCCCTTACTATTATTAAGTACCTACCAAACACTGCTATAAAGAAAGAAATGACAAAATTTGTCCACTGGACTGGATATGTAGGATGAAAGTGAAGAAATGAGACTGAGATTGTGAATGGAAAGATAGTGATTTTCTCTAAGGAATAGGAACATTGGGAAACAGTGAAAGTTTTATAAGGAAAGATAATGAGTTCTGTTTTGAAAATGCCAATTTTGAGATTTCTGTGAGACATTCCATTTGAGATGTCCAAAAGGTGGTTGAAGGACTGGAACTCAGGTGAGTGACTAGAGCTGGATATATAGATCTGGGAACCTGAGAGAGCTGATGAAATCACCAAGTGAATCACCAAATATAGAGGGAAAAGAGGAGAGGGACCAGACTAGAGGCTTGGGGGACACCCATGGTTAGTGGGCATGATGTGGATGAAGAAGCAGCAAAGAAGAATGGGGAGGAGTATTCAGACAGGCAGGAGGAGAATCAGTAGTCAGCTTTGTCACAAAAAAACCTATATAAGATAATTGGGGAAGAAATGGTGAATAACCAAGTTAAATGATGTGGAAAGGTCAAGAAGGATGAGAACTAAGAAAAGTCTATTAGATCTGGCAATTAAGAGATCAGAGAACTAGGTGGTGCGGTGGATGGAACACCAGCCTGGAGTCAGGAAGATGAGTTCAAATCTAGCCTTAGACATTTACTAGCTGAGTGACCCTGGGCAAGTCACTTCACCTCAGTTTGCCTCTGTTTCTTCATCTGGAGGTTAGGGATAGCACCCACCTCCCAGGGTTGCTATAAGAAGCAAATGAGATAACAATTGTAAAGTGTTTAGCACAGTGCCTGGCACATGCTAAACATGATATAAATGTTAACTCATTATCATCATTATTATTATCATTGGTAATTTTGTAGAGGTTTTTATTTGAAGGATGAAGTATACATATTCTCCTCTCCTTAGCCATCCCCTTTTCCTACTTTCACCATGGCTAAGAGAACAAAATTATCTGCCTGTAGAAAACAATGTAAAGGGAGAGATAACAAGCAAACAAATATGTACAAACAAGTTATATACAGGATAAATAGGAAATAATTAACAGAGGGAAGGCACTGGAATTAATAGATATTGGGAAAAACTTCCTGTAGAAGATGATATTTGAGTTGGGATTTGAAGGAATCAAGAAGCAGAAATTAGGAGGGAAAGCATTTCTTGGAGGGCATGGAGTGCAACCAGCAAAAATACTCAGAGCTGAAGTGTCTTTGTGGAACATCAAGGAAACCAGTATCATTAGACCAAAGAGTATGTGATGGGGAATAAGGTGTAAGAAGACTGGAAAGGGGTGTGTGTGTGTGTGTGTGTGTATGTGTGTTGTGAAGGGCTTTGAATACTAAACAGAGGATTTTGTGTTTGGAGAAAATAGTGAGTGGCTGTTTATTGAGTAGGGAGGTAATATGGTTGGAGCTGCATTGTAGGAAAATCACTTTGGCAGCCGAATGGAGGATGGGTTGAAGTGGGGAGAGACTTGAGGCAGGCAGACTTCCCAGCAGACTACTTCCAGCCCCCTTCCCTGATTTTCTTTAGGTTTCCCCTGATTATTTTGAAGCCTTTGGTATTTGGGTTCATGTTTATTTTCATGGTTGTTTTAGGATTCATGAGTATAATCCTGCTGGGAGGGGGTATGCCTGAGTCTTCACTTCTACAATTCGTAGGCACAACTTCCAACAAGTCCAGGGTTTTCTTGATAAAAATTGTCTGGAAAGACATTATATTTTGATTGCATAGGATACTTACTAGTTTGTGTGACCTTGGGCAAATCACTTAACTTCTGTTTGCCTCAGTATCCTCATATGTAAAATGGGACAACAACAGCACCTAACTCCCAAGGTTGTTGTGAGAATCAAATGAAATAATAATTGTAAAATGCTTAGCATAGTGGAAAGTGCTTAGTAAGTGCTATATAAATATTAGTTATCATCATCATCATTATTGTCATCATCATTATTTAAAAAACGATAAGCCAAAGTTGGATAGGGATCTTGGGTTTCTAATTTTAAATATAAATCCCAAACTACCCAAAATGTTAAGTTTTAGACCTGGTCTTCAGGAATCCCAAGAGAATTGAATATGGCCGGGAGATTCACAGGTCCGTTTCACTGCAGCCTGTCTTTTCAGCCTTGCAAACTTTGGAAACTATGAAACATTGGTGATACCATTCATTGGACAAAGAGATCTGGAAACATGGATGAATTAAGATTTTAAATTCTGCCTGATTCCTTTTACAGTTGTGTGGAAAGGCTTTATCTATTGGAAATACTTAGTGAGGGTTTATACTTCTTCTATCACCCAAAAAACGGCTTAAAAATGATACTTCAGACAAAGGCACCCATGGATTGTATTTCCTAGAAATGGTGTAGTTTAGCTTCATGTTTAAGTTATACGGTTTGGGTAAGCATAGCTTTCATACTGATTTTATTTTATTTTATTTTTTAAATCACAACCCCTGGGATCTCTTATTAGACTCACTTCACACAAGTGAATTGAAAAAAAAAATCCTTTCTCCATAAAGCTTGTATGTCCTGTGGGCTCAGAAATCCTTTTGTGAAGCTTCAAAGGAGAAATGAGACTAAAATATGTATATTGCATGAGGAGAAAGCCTTTCAATCACTCAGCAGGTTGTGTTCTACAAACTGCCTTTGGTGGTAAAAGATCTGGGGAGAACTTTGGGTTGCTAGGCACCCTTTATCCAGTTACCTTCAGGCTTGTTATCAATCTTACCTGAGGATTTGAGAAGGCACTTCATCACAGCTTGCTGATAACTAAGAGTCCACCACAGACATGACTTTTATGGTGGCCTTAGTCCATATGCCAGCATACATCTCATAATATGCTGTTAGGAGAATCCAGCATCTCGAATCATTTAGGCAGTGTGCTATAGTGGAAAGAGGGCTGGGCTTGGAATTAGGAGGCCTAGGTTCAAGTCCTCCTTCTGATCCTTAGTAGTTGAGTGACCAGGGTAAGTCATTTTACTCAGTGTCTCAGTTTCTTCATTTGTCAAACTGAGAAAATAAATTTACTCCATCCACTTCATTGGATTATAGTGAGGAAAGCCACTTTCCTTAAACCTTAAAGCAAGCCACTGTTATTTAAATGGACCTGATTTAAATAAGTAGTTTGCTGAAAATGATGAAACAGATAATCTGGGTGCTTTTGAGTCTCACCATCTATAAGAAGACTTTCCCAATCCTCCTTAATCTTGGTACCTTCACTCTAAGATTATCTGCAGTTTATCCTGTTTGTATTTTATTTGTACATATTTGTTTGTGTGTTATCTCCCACTTAGACTTTGAGTTCCAGGAGTTCAGCAGGGACTGTCTTTTGCTTTTTTTTGTATCCCCAGTGTTTAGCAGAGTGCCCAGCACATAGTAAGTACTTAATAAAATGCTAGTTGATTGAATAATTCCTGATATTTAAATAATGAGTAGGAATTCACTTCCATGCTTAATTTTTCACAGCACTAACTCAAAAACATCTAGTAATAAACTCCTTGTCCAAATCAAAAGTGAGCAGTTAGCATATCACCTGAAGGTGTCATTGCCTTCACTGATCTCTGAAGCTAAGTCAGGTCTAGGTGTGGTCTGGAGAGCAATTCATGCAGTATTCCAGGGTCTCACTGAGAGAGACACCAGCTTTCTAGCCTGTGAGGAGCATACTGGCAATCTTGGAAAAGGCAGTCACTTGAACTATCTGTATTTTAATAATAAATTGAAGTATTTTATCTATTGAGAGCCTACTATGTGCCCAGGACTGTGCTAGGCGATAAGGGGAAGACCAAATGGGAAAGCACAACTTTTTTTCTTAGGAAAGTTGTTATGGAGAGAACATAAGGATATATGAAACAAACAGAAAACCAAAATGACTGATACGTTGTCATTTCAATACTTCAAAGAACCTGTTATCTCATTGATGGACATTTCCTCCACTGGTACATATTGCAGCATGTTCATGTCTTCTTATTCTATGTGATTCTCATCCATTTTCTCCCATGAATTCTCTATAGAGGAAACATTCACTGTTCTAAAGACCTTTCTCTAGGTTTGTTTGACAGATTGTTGCTTTAGGTGCAGCACTTGGGTTGTCCCGCTTGCATCCCTCACCTTTCCTACACAGTCCACCTCCTTTTCCTCTTGTACTTTTCCTCAATTAAGGAGGAAGCCTTTTCATGCAGGTCATGATAAGAAATACACATGAGCTTACTTGCACCTAGTCCAGTCTAGGTCACCTAGAGCTGATTTCTCAGAGACTTTAGTTTCTGTTTAGTTCCCCAAGATTTGTGACCGTATAGTGAAACTGGAAGAGCATTTTCCTAAAAAGGGGAGAATTTTGTGCTGGGGAACAGTTTGAGATTGGTAAAAGCATCATTCTATTTCTGAAACATAATTAAGCTGGATCTCATCCCCTGATTCTGAATACAACTCATTGTCCATCTGCAATGCTTGGCACAGATATATGTACCAATGCACTAATAAATGGACTGCCCGTCCAACTACATGCTACAGTTTGGGCAATAGTGATTGTCCATACATTTATTTTTTCCTGTATAGGCTATTGATTTGATCTCTTTTGGGTAATCATGGTTCTTATTAAGGAGAGAGACCTTGCAGTGTTCTGGGGATTCAGTTACTTAGTGCAATGTCATCTCTCATGCCGGAAAATGAAGTAGAAATTATATGTATATGATAAAGGAATACAATAATAATAATTTTTTGTTGTTCAGTCATTTTTCAGTTGTGTCTGACTCTTCTTGACCTCATTTGGAGTTTTCTTGGCTAGGATACTGGAATGTTTGTCATTTTCTCTAGCTCATTTTTACAGATGTGGAAACTGAGGCAAACAGGGTCAAGTGACTTTCCCAGGGTCACACAGCTAGTGTCTGAGGCCAGATTTGAACTTAGGAAGAGAAGTCTTCCTAACTCCAGGTCCAGCACTCTATCTACTGTGCCACCTAGCTGCCCCAAGAATAATTACAGCTAGCATTTATATAGTGCTTTAGTTTCTCAAGGTGCTTTATGTATATTATCTTATTTCAGTAGGTATTATTTTAAAAATTCTTACTGATGAGGAAACTGAGGTTGAGAAAGATTAAATGACTTGCCTGGGATCATACAGCTAAATAAATGTCTATTTAAATTCAGATTTTTTTGACTCTAACTTTTGCTGTCTATCCACATGACTGCCGAGTAATGCAAAGTAAAAGAATTCATTGATAGGGGCTTGTTTTAACTCAAGAAAGGTTTGTTGAAGGTGAGTCTTGAGCCCAGACTTTAAGGAAGTCATAGGCATAGATTGACAGAGAAAAGAGTGAGGTCATTTCAGACAGAGGCAATGCCATAAGGGAGTGAGCAGGCTAGGTGTGGTGGCTAGTAAGGATATTGACTGATTTGGAACAGAGGGTCTATATTGGGACAAAATAAGAGATGAATTGTAAAGGTATGTAATGTAATATAAATTATAAAGAACAATCTTCCAGGACAATCTCTTTCAAATGCCATTTTCAACAGGTTATTCTACTTAAAAAAAAAATCTTTAATGTCTCCCAATTATTACCTTGAAGGTCAAATGCTGCACCTTCTCTAACTGGCTACATGAGTAAACATGATGTTAACCGGTAGGAGTATGTTAGAGCCCTGGACACCTTCTTCAAAATGTCAAGGATGCTGAAAGTCTCTGAATGGATGGACCCAGTAAAATTGACTGAAAATAGACATGGCACCCTACTATAAGTATGGGTCTATGCATGAGATGCTTCCATATCCAGCCATCTATACCTCCACGGCAGTGAAGATGCCTTGGGTTCCATGACCAAACTTTCTGGGGTGTGTCAGCAGTCACAGTAGACTGGGGCATCACGCCCAGTCACTTTAGCAGGGTCTTTAAGAGCATTGAACCACAGTCCTACAAACTCTAGAGGGGCTCAAAGGACCGGAATGGGAGCCACAAGGATGGGGGTTAGACAGACATGGACAGAATTGTTGGAAACATGGCAGCTGCAGACAAACCATACAGAATTCGTGAAAAGGAAATAGCAGCAGCAACTCCCCTACTTAGGGATGCAGCACAGCATATATCACTTCAAAGAAGGTATATGATCTATAACTTATAGGCCTGGAGGTAGGAAAGAGGCTGGAGGGATACCCTCAAGTTTGTAGTCAGGGGGTTGGAATCCCAAAGCAGGGCCAACTCAAGTGCCATGGGGACTCTTGGGAGAGTCTTCAGGGGCTATAAGAAATTCTGAGTTCAGACTTGAGACAAACAGGGTCCTCTCTACCTTTCCTCTGGCCCAGGACAGCCTCTGCTGCCTTGCCCAGCCCACAGCTTCACTGAAAAAACAGCTAACCTTCTAACAAAAAGGGTTCTAGAAACCTGTGTTTTTTTTCTTTGTTTTTATAGTCTACCATCAGATATTTATTGGGCACCTCCTAAGTACAAGACACTGAGCCAGGTATGTCGGATGGTTAGAAAGATGTTTCAGTCATCTCTCTTCCCACTTCTCCTCCCACCCCCATTCCCTGCTTTGAAGGATTTTATAATCTAGCTGTGGAATTGAGAAGATGTGAAAATAACACTTGCTGTCATAGCCTCCTGCTATGTAGTGAGAAAGTCTGACTTTCTTGTCTCTGTATTTCTAGATACCAAGAAGACGCTGAATCTGAAGAGCTTGGGTTAAGGAGTTGTTGCCATGAAGGGCGGCAGTGAAAGGTTGCATTGCTTGAATAGGCATGTGTGAAACAGGGACAGCTAGGTGGCACAGTGGTTAGAGCTCTGGACTTGGTGTCAGGAAGTCCTGAGTTCAAATCAATCCTCAAACATTAGTTGTATGACCCTGGGCAAGTCACTTAACCCTATTTGCCTCAGTTTCCTCATCTGTAAAATGAGCTAGAGAAGGAAATGGCAAAACACTCCAATATCTTTGCCAAGAAAACTACAAATGGGGTCAGGAAGAATCAGACACAAACATTGTATGAGGGTGGGGGTGGGAGGAGGGACTTTTCAAATAGCTGATACTGTGCTTTAAGGTGCCTTGCTTTCTTTTATTCTGTTCTGGGATTCAAGTGGGTATTCTATGTGTATACTTTGGTATATTTGTGACTGGGATTCCTGGGTGTGATTTCAGGAGAAGATTCTGGGAGCGGATTATGTGGGTATGCTTAGGCTTACCTAGAACCATTGGTTGAGGTCTTAATAGTAGAGGAGTTTGGAAGAATAAGTAAGTGTGGGCTAGGCAGGTAAGGGAAGGTTTTATGGAGAAGACAGGAGGTGGTGGGTACTACTTCGGCCTCACATCCAGTTGCTCAGAATTTGCCAATGGGGAAGCAGGGATCTCTGATTTTGCAGATTGTTCAAGACCCACCCCAAATGGATCCTTATTTATCTTTATTAACCAAGTAGTCATGGACTTATTGATCAAGAGCTCTTCTGACCTTCTTAACATATGTTAGCCTAGAATTCCTGATCAGCAAAAGGTGGTTAGGAGACTACATAGTATATACCATGATGGCCAACTTAGTGGCACCATTGTCCCTTCTGTCAGAAGTTATCAGAGTTAAGAGCAGTAACAGGGCTTTGGTTCCACACAGTATTATGTTATCATTTTGAAGTCAGAAGCTGTGAAAAGGTTTCTTCAATAGCTCCTCAAACTACTAGCAGAGCTTCTCATCATCTGTTTTATGGTATGTGATTTTGTGAAGGTGCTCTGGATATGAGCCACACCATTAAATCAAAAACCATTCAATTTTGATTTAGCTTCAAAATGGGCATGGTCTGCTAAATCTCTTCCTAACTTCATTTCTCCCAGCATAAGGGAGAAGAAAGCCTAAATCTATGGAGGCTGTCATCTCAACTCATTCAACTCCATTTTAGTCTTCCTGAAAGTCAGCCTACTGTAGGCATAGACTAGAAGAAGTAAGTCCCTTGAAAAATTGATAGAAGTCAGTTTTCTTTTCCAGTTCTATCATTATCCTTATTTTCTCTACTATTTCATATATATATATATTTTAATTTCTGTGGCTACAGTGGAAAGATAATCTAGTTTGACATCAACCATGTTAGAATGAACAGGCAAATGTGTCTGAAAAGTCAGCATTTTGGTGAGTTAGGCACAATTTTTCCTCCTATAATATTTTGGTCTTTAGCATGATATTTCTATCTTTAACCTCCCATTCTGGTAGATGAAAAGATTAAATATCTAATCTTGATGGTGACAGCTTTGGACTCTAGCCATGACATAAACATATGAAAACCAACCCACACCATCATATTTATGTTCCCAACTATTTTAGGCATACTTGGGGGCTCAACATCTATTAAGCAATTCATGCATCAATGCATTTGCTCTTGATGTTATGCCATATGTTTCTTTATCTTTAAAAATAGCTAGCACTGGTTAAGCAACACACCATTGCCTTTTATATTACGCACAAATATGGGATAATGGGAAAACAAGGCATATGGGAAAGAGTATTGTAATAGAGTGACACAATTTTTCTAATTTTCACTATAACATAAAATTCATGACTAAATCCAACTATGTTTTTTTATGGCCGGGGAAGGATATAAAGAATATAGGTGTGTGTAATTATGTAGAAAAAGAGAATGCTTTCTATAATGTTTCCAAAATGGCTCAGATCAGTAAACTAAATTGAATGGGTTTTACTTTGATGTGGTCTATTATTCATTTAAGGATAACAGTTGTAGCTTTTGATCTAATACAGGATTACGTCAGTCTCTTTGTTTACATCAAAAGAAGGAAGATGAGCTATTTTTAAAGCACTCTAAATTTAATTGGTTCTTGAGATAATTTCAGAATTAGTCTGTAGGGATAGGTATGGAGGGGTTCAATCCGTCTTTTAGCCTTCATGCATCACAGAAGTGATACATTGACATGACAACTAATAACAGATTTGTAAATTTTTTTTAATGAACTTTAGGTTTGCCTATTCTTAACAAAAGGCTCTTCAAAATCAAATGTGCTTCAGTGAAAAAAAGTTTAATGGACACATAGTTTTCTTATTTGGAAATGCTCCTATTATTATCATTCAAACTAGTTAACAACACAGATGGATGTCTACGTGTTCCAATTGTCTTTTCCTCAGTTCTCTACATATGCCTTAAATGCCTTCTTAGTGAATTTACTGTCATTTCTTGATGGTGGGTACCACACCTGGTTCAAGGCTTTCTGTTTAATATGCAAGATATTATTCACCCACTGGTGCTTAATAAATATTTGTTGATGATACTGATGACATTTCAGTAATGTTGGCCAGCTTTCCCTTGTCAAAGGAGTGCTCGCTATGCAAGACAGATTTTATAGACAGCACAGTAATGGGATACAGATCTGTAACACACAGGTCAACATTGACTGGAAGATGAATGAAACCTAATGAATATTGGCAAAATGTGGGTTAGAAACCCACGGAACAGTAGGCAGCCTCAAGATGATCAGGGGCTGAACATGTTTGATGTCAAAGAATTTCTGAGAAGTCTAATAGTGGCAGACTCATTAACCAACCAACCCATGTTTATTTAGAGTCATACGTGTTTGAGATCACCCCTGAAGTCCTATCCAGCTTCCAGTCAAGTGGGACTGGGGCAACTCCCGTTTCTCAAAGGCTTTGTTAGCAGAGCAAAAGTTTTGGGAACTCACAGAATCACAGGACTTCAAAGTTGAAAGGGGCTTTAGTGACTATCTCATTCAATCCATAACAGGAAAACAATTCTTATTTTAATCCCCTTGGCAAAGGGTCACCCAGGCTTGGCTTGAAGACTTTCTAATGAAGGAAATCCCACAGGTTCAAATATTGCCTTAGTGATCTACTTCCTGATTATATGACCCTAGGCAAGTCACTTAAATCTCCTTCAACCTCATTTTGCTCGTTTGTAAAATAGGGGCAATAATACTATCTACCTCACAGGATTGATAACAGGATTAAATAAGATTATATGTGTTAAATGCTTTACAAAGCTTAAAGCATGATCTAGATGCTAGTTGTTATTATTATTACTATTACCTCCTAAGATGACCCACATTTTTGGATAGTCCTAATAATAAGAAGTCTTTCCTTAAATCAATCCTAAATTGGTCTCTTTTCAATGTCCACCCATAGCTCCAAGTTCTGCTCTCTGGGACAAATGAAACAAGTCTAAACCATCTTTCATGTGACAGTCTTTCAAGTACTAAAATACACTTTTCACACCCTCTCCCCCTATTCCCAGTATACTTTTTCAACGTTGGAAGAGAAGTTCCACCAAACTGGAAAGGTTACGAGTATGGACCTAGTGAGGAACCATATGTCTGTTGTCTAAGAACTAGCCTATCTCTGTTCAGATTGGCTCATCACTAGTCTGGCCACAGGATTATTTTTGGCCATAGAAAGCCTTGAAGGCCATCTATTAAGTTTTAAAGGGGGTAACAAACTGCATTTCTGCGCAGGCTGACCATACCCCTAAAATTTTCTAGTAGTCCCCCATTGTTTCTAGGGTAAAATGCAAACTTCTCTGCTTGACATTTAAAGCCCCTCCCAGCCTGACTCCAGCCTGTCTTTCCAGACTTATTTTATATTGCTTCACTTTATGCATTCCACATCTTAGCCAAACTGGCCTAGTTGCTGTTTCTTGAACCCAGCATTCCAGTTACTACCTGTTTACTTTTGTGCAAATCTTCCTCCACACCTAGACTTCATTCACTTTTTTATCTTCTGCTTCTTGGAGTCCTTAACATCCTTTAAAACTCTGTGGAGTTGCAGCCTCCTACATGAAGACTTTCCTGATGTCTCTAGTTGACAGTGCTTTCTCTTATAGTTATCCTGCATTGACCTTACTTACTTACACATTGTTGTCGGTCTTCTGTTCTCGAAGAGTACCCTGACATCAGGAAGGTGATGCCACGATTTGCAAGTGAATTGGATTTAAGTGAGGGAGGGTTGTGCAAGGTCACCAGCCTTACTTTCTCCTCCAGAGCCATCTGGGTCCAGTGGCCAGATATAGATCAGGATGAGTGGAGATGGCCCCCTGTTTACATGTATCCTTCAAATGAAGGTAAACTTCTTGAGAGGTGAGGACTGTTTTAAAATTTTGTCTTTGCGTACCTAACACCTAGCACAATACCTTGGACATAGTAGGCACTTTGTAAATGATGAATTGAATGAAATTGAAATGTTGGAGGGAATATACACATTGACGTAATATCACAAATGTTGAAGATACAATGCTGGGTTCACAGAAAATCATTCAGCTCTTCCCTCTATGTTCTTTGTCTTTACTCCTAAATATGTTTGCATTAATTTGGATGTGTATTAATTTTCCCATGACAACCTAGGTAATAACTTCATTGTATCTTGTTGTTCATCCACCTTTTCTGATTGTAGCAACCAGCTCTGTAGCTCCTTCCCGAAAGTTTCCAACTGCATTTAGAACAAAGTCCAGTTGTGCAGCCGCTGGGTATAATTATCAAGGGGCTTACTGCAGAATAAAGTTGTTCTTCTGCAAAAGCAATGATATCACAAGATCTAATCCCACACAGGCAATGACATCTGAATCTACCCATACCTTAAAAACCATTTGACTAAGGTTTACACTTCCCTAAAGGTTAAGAAGAGTGCTCAGTTTGGTGTTTTAAACTCATCCTTATTAAAGAAAGGCACACTTGAAGGAAAACAAGTTTGCTGATGGTAGCTGCCATTAAGGTGTGTTCCT